AAAGAAAGAAAGAAAGAAAGAAAGAAAGAAAGAAAGAAAGAAAGAAGCAGGTGATTAAAAAGGCACAATGACACGCTTTTGATTTGAAATAAACAGTCCTTCCTCCTTTCTGATTCTTATATTTTTTACAGCACTTGCTAGTATCTCTAAATGGTATTAATGTTGGGGTTGCAAATAACAATAAGCACACTGGGTGACTTCAACCACGTAAGTCTAAATTGGACCACTTATGTTCAGTTGCTATACCAGAAGATATTGGGTAAACTCATATAACCTTTCAATGCTGTGGTAAAAATTTAATTTCTTTGGTGATTAATTTGACTTGCTATTCCCTTTCTGATTGCTCAGCAAGGATGAGCTCTTTCATTAAAGTTTACTTTGTGGCAATGTAACTTCCCTGTCATGACAGTGGTTAGCATTGTCTTTGGTCTAGCACCAGCCTTGAGGAAGACCCAGGATTACTCATCCCTGGAAATTGGGCTTAACAGAAACATCTTTCTGAATAACACTGTGACTTTGGGATATGTATCAAGGTTGTATATACTATGCTGGGGGCCAAACCAGTGTTTCATGTCATTTTCTGTCTGGAGGTATATTGAACTGAAACTGAACCCTCTCAAGATAGAAAGGGAAAGCAAAAAAGGGTTCCAGCTGTTGCTTTTGTCATTGACTTTCTAGTTGAGGACCTAAACTAGAAAAATCTCTTCCTCTTCCTACTCTTCCAGTTGCACACCAGTCAAACTTCTCCAACCTCTCTCAGGGTTTTTTATTAATATAGAAAAAAACAGTCATAGCACTTTTAGAGTACACTAAATTTTGTGGGGACATATACAGACCTTATTCTGGTTGCTTTATCTCCTTTATTATAAATTTCTTTGCTATCAGTTCTCTTTTTTATTACTTCAGATGTGTCTGTAAATCTAACCATGTTCAGAATGCAGTTCCCCAACAGGACACGCAAGCTCCCAAATTCGTCTTCAACAATAGGTAAATGTTTATTGTTGGAAGATAATAATATGAGTCCAAATGAAAAAAGTAAAAGTTGTAAGTAAAAGTTGTAAATAAAGGTCTGTTCAGACATTCAAAATGACACGCGCATGAGGAGAGTGTAGGACTAAACCAGCTGCCTTCTGCCCACCCATCTTCCTGCATCGTGCAGCCTGTGGAACTTACACAAAGCTTCTCGCAAGAGTCAGAACCTGATCATGCTGAATTGAAAAGGGCCAAGCACAGATTGCATTCAATATACATTAGATAGCCAAGCCCGATTTTTGTTTGTTTGTTTTAATTAGAGGAACAGCGTTCTCATGGCTGGGAGAGGGCGATAGCTGTCTGTCTGCCTTTCTATCTCTTGCTCTATCTATCTATTGGCCGTGGCAGATGACGTGATGTTGCCAGACTGGGTGGAACCAAAAGTTTGGCCTGCTGAAGGAGTGTTGATGTACTGTGGGGAGTTAAAGCAATAAAAGCTGTGTGAGGTTGACGGTAACCATTTCAATCCTTGTTTTTTTTGTTGTTTTTTTTTAAGTCTGTTGAGGGAGGAATTGCGGGAAAGTGTGATGGAACAATGAGTGCCTGAAATACAACGTAACAAAAATTTGCATTATATTTTTGCAACCCAATTACAGCAGCCCAATTTTGGAATAATCTGGAAGCTGCAAATGGATGCTCCGACTGCCTGTGGTCCGTGATCTGCCCACATCTGCAATTACAGGAGATTCCTGGGTACCTGATTTGAATCAAGATCAGCACACGGCTGTCTTAGTTCTGAATACCTCTCTCTCTGCACATAAGTTAAGAAAGAAAAAGCAAAATGAAACCCCTCACCAGCCTATACACAATGCTCCAGCAAAGGGGCAGAAACCCTTGTAACTGCCTCTCATTTTCATAAAAGCAGAAAAGACTGTCGTGCTCTAAATGTTCAATATAATTGTGCTTGTCCCTAAACCATTCAAGAGGATAATAGAAAGCTCACTGCACTAAATCTCTTTCCCCATTGCACAGGGCTGATGATAGGAATAGCTGACAATAGCTGAATAGGTCGAAATGCAGGTTAAGCAGTGTGGTGGCTACACGTTTACCTGTGGCCAGCAGACCATGAATTCTAGTCCAACCTTAGGTATGAAAAGCAGCTGGGTGACTTTGGGCCAGTCACTTTCTCTCCACCAAATGCACCTCACGGTTTTGTTGTGGGGAAAATAGGAGGCAGAAGTATTAGTATGTATGCTGCCTTGAGCTGACCAAAAATAAAGATGGGATAAAAATTGAATAATAAAAATAAAATAAAATAAAATAAAATAAAAACTAAGCAGCTTCCTTTGTATCAAACTCTTGCTACATCTGTTTGCATTTTTTTTATATTCTTGTCTCGGTAAATAAACAAACAAGAAGTGGATGTGGTGAATGCAGAACCAGGCCGCTCACATCATCTTTATTTACAAAAATGCTTGTGCCTTATGTAGGCCTCATAGACATGTTTTGAAAATCAAATAGATGGTGACTGTAGAGCACCAGCATGCGTGGAAAGAAAGAGAAAGGTCAGCTGCGACAGCCAACATACAGCCTTCCCACTTCCTGCCCCATCGCAGCCATTTTGAACAAGCATCCTCAGTGGGCACCCAAAATTCCAGATATGCCTGCTTGCCCCAAAACATATCTAGTGTATCCAGGGAAAAGACATAGCCCATGGAGTTAGTTCCCCCTCCCCATTAACAACAAACTAAAGCAACCTTAGTGCTCGGAACACCCAGGTTTATTCTCGACTTGGTCTACTACTATGAAAATCCTAACATTTGGCTCTGAACTTGCCTGCTGAACTTTTTTGGAATTTGGGAAATGTAAGCAGGAAGCTTAATAAGTTCCTTAGGGCCAATTTGTTCCAGAATTGTGCAACGATTTCTTCCACTTTTGGAAAAAGCTGGAGGAACTCTAGACAAGTAAAAAGCCATTTTTTGCACATTATACAAAGGCTTTGCAATCATATGGAGGTTAGATTTTATAGACTTTAAACCAGTAAAGTTAAGAATGACTTAATCCTGTCTCACTTGTGGGCTGGGAATGAGATGAAGTAATAGTCATGGGGGCATAGCAAGGTTTGTTTATACTATGATTAGGTGTAAGTGGGGAAAGACCCACAGTCAACCCTGTTGCTAATCCAACATTGAATTCAGCTATATCTTAACCTCAATCATGCAAACTTGAAGTTTCTGCAAGGAATAGGTTGCAAGAACAAAGCATTTTACAGTGACATTAGCCTGCTATGGCAATAAGTAACATGACACCAAAACAATGACCTGCTGATTGTCCAACTGATTAAGAGAGGAAGAAAAAACACCTTGAAAATAGGATTATTGTAAAGCAACCTTGCTGTTTGCCAATGCAGAGAGAGAGTGAAAGAGGCAGGAGGAAAAGAAAGCTTTTGCAGTTACTCTGAGATAAAATGGTAGGTGCTGTCCTTTAAGAAAGGTGTGGCAGTGTTTACTGCTTTGGATTTCATCTCGGTTTGGAACTGTCTGGGTGGCCTTAGGCCAGTCCTGCTTCTCCTTTGCCTCCTCTGCGCTCAGATTAAGTGAAAAACGAAAATGCTTGCCTGCAGCGCAGAATGGCAAGGGTTGTTGATGTAGTGGATGGGCAAAATGCTTTGAACACTCAAGAAAGTACGGTAGTCATGGTAATGATTTAGCACCACTGCAAGTAAATTGGCTTTGATGGCTATTGTATGTACAAATGGCTGGCCTTAAACATCCTCAGTCACCATTTTAGATTGGCAAGATTACTTGCAAACATACTGTACTGATCATTTGTTGGGAGAGAATGTAAATGGGGTATTAAATCAAGGACTTTATTATCACCGGCTAGTAGATCAAAAGCCAAATCTTCTATAACCCGGTTTCCTGAAAAGAGCTTTGTTATATCATGTATTCATTTTTCATGCAGTGCTTTTATTCTAACTAGAGATTCATATTTTTGTATGCCAAATTATCTTGATTTATTTCCAATCAGTTTCTTAGTTACATATTTTATTTTTTTTAATTTATATATCAAATTTGTCACCACCCATCTTGTTTAAAAGTGACTCTGGGTGGTTTACAGAAAAGATCAATATTAATTAAACATTCAATACAACAGTAGTCCTAAATAAATAATAAGTATATTCCAAAAATTGATAGATACATACATATCTTACATATAGAGTCTGACCACCCAAATGCCAAAGATGTGTTCTTACCTGGGTATTGTCATAGCTGGGAGCACTGTATAGTGACACGTTATACAGGTAGTCCCTGGGTTAAGAATGTCTGGTTTATAGACAACCCATAATTAAGAACAAAGCCTACTGTAGCAAAATTTGAGTTAAATACACAATGATTTGAGTTAAATACACAATAATTCGAGTTAACTACACAATACTACTTATACAGTATTATACAATAATACTGTTCCGGCTTATATACAAATTTGACTTAAGGAATGACCTTGGGAACGGAACTTGTTCTTAAACTAGGGACTACTTGTATTTTTGCTGATGGTGACTCATAACTCTGAACCCAGCACATGCTATCAATTCACATCAGAATGTTTTTCCAGGTCATATGAATCAACCTAAAACTGGATTATATATGATAAGCATATTGACCTTTGAGATGCAATACCGTAGTAATAGT